TGATAGCGTTAAATACATATTAATTTCTTAGAATATTTATAGTCTTTAAATATTTCAGAATTCACGAAAATAAAAAAATCTAGAAAAGATGTGCGACTTTTTCAGCACTCCTGAAATTTAAATATGTTTTAATATTTCACTGCAGATACTGGCCATCTTTGCAATCGGTTTGTCAGTGGATCCGATGAATTCATTCCAGCGCATGTTCAATAGACCGCGATTCAAGCTGGACGATGCAGCCACTATCTACGTCTCGGTCGCCGGCTATATTCTCATCAATGCACTCTTCATCATCAGCCATATGCTGGGTGATCGCGTGCCAAAAAGAACGGTAATGTCTATTTTCTATTAAATATGTTAGAATTTAAATAAAATTTGTTTGGTATGTCTTGCGAATTTACAATCCGTAGTTTCTTCGTAAAGAAGAAACAAGTACAACATTTATATTCTATGCATCTTCGTGCAGGGTATAAGAGTAAAAGACTATAAGATGATTCCAAGGATGAGCTTTACAATTTTAAATATTTCAATATTTCTTTTATAAAGAAAACGAAGATCGATTTCGAGTTAATCACGGAATTTGCGTGATGAATTTTCAAAGTGTTTAAATGGTCTAACGTTCTCTTTAACACGTGTTAATTATATTCTTTTTCTCTTACAAAAGAATAATTTTTGATAAATAATAATATAACCGAATAATTTACCGAAATAAATATCAAGAGGAATACGTAGCGCGTATATTGGTTATATTTTTGATGAATATTGTTCTTCAATTTTCTCAAAGTGTTACGGGGATTAACAACTCATACTGTAAACATGTGTACTTGTTATATTATTATTATTGCAAATATGGCCTTGTTATATTATGTCCATAACAAAGAACGCGCGCGCGACTAGATACGCCTAGTTTATTTGTCAGCTGAGTCACTACACAGTAGCAACGGCGTATGTGTTAATTAGCGGACGCTAATTATCAAGGCTTCATTGCGATGTCATTTTACACGTCGTTTAAGAATATGTTAAATGAAAAAATCGCGCGACATTAGATCAGATACATCAGAGCGCGTGTTGAGACTATGATTTACCCACTTGTAAATGATTAAAAACTTTCCAACTGTGCAAATCTCACTACACAAATCAACATCTTATATTATGAAATGTATATAATCATGGTAATCAATGACACTTGTGGCGGTTTACCGTGACAAACAATTAAAAAACATCTCAGCTTCATAACAATAGACATGAAAACATAATAATAAGCTTTTTTGTACATAATTCTATTTCGAACGAATAATTGCGAAATCGAATAAATTTACAAAATCGATCAATTTTCAACACATTAACGTAAATCAAAAGTAAAAAAACATAGAATACTTTGTTGTTTTTGCAGTATTATTATACTTTTGTTAATGATTTGATTGATCTGCCTTATTCGTTTTGATACAAACGTTAGTATTAGTATTACAAGATGAGCGTTATCCTTTACGAAATTTCGCGATAAAATACAATAACGGCCGCTCCTCTGTGTGTACTTGAAAAAAAAGAAGAATACTGGCATGGCGGCCGGCTAGAGTTTCAAAATCCCTTGGAGAGAGGCGCGTCTTCCATCATATTGCCTCGTGCGCACATGGCTCGATATTCAAGAATTTAAGAAGCTTTAAGATAATGTTATATAAAATTTAATTCAAATTTTATTTTTTTTTTAATTAAAGAAAATTGGTTCGAGCGTATGCAAAAATGTATCGATCTTAAAGGCGAATACTTCGAAAAACAATAAAGCCATTTACCGAATTTTACATGTTTTTTTTTCATATTATTTGCAGAAACTTTTCCAGCAGCCTACGTAGTAGTTATATTTTTTCATCATACAATCACTTGTGATTTGTTTGCATTAAAACTGATGTATTATGTCTATACAGGATATTTCATAACATATGGATCCCTAATACGGAATTGATATGACGTAGTCTTTTCCTAAATTCGAGTGACGGAGAGAAAGTTTCTTGTTAAAAAGTTATTAAAATAAAGTTATTTTCTAAATATCTAAGAATTATCAGTATTTGTGACTAATCGCGAAATTGAGTTCCAAATGCTGGGTAGGCGCATCTGCGTCCTCTGGTTTATTTCCGCTGGCAATTAAAAACTAAACATAGACTCCTGAAAGTTTCTCATCACGCTAACATTAGAGATCGTGCAATTGGATTCATGATTAATTGACTGTTACAGTTGCTGATGTTCGCAACCGTAGGCGCGTTTATGCACGTAGTGGCCGGAAGCTTGATGATCCATAATTGGCGCCAGATGAATGGTCCTTACTATTATGTGCATAACAATGAGATCCATCCTAGCAAACAGTACATGGATATGCTTATATCAGCAGCAGTATTTACATTTGTAACCGCAGCGGCATTTATCGCGGAAATTGTCGCCATTATAAGACATGCGTGAATATGTGCGTCTCCGCAAGAAAGTCCATTGATTCAAGCGAGTTGAAGGACTCACGAGTATCACCAAAGTTATGGATAGTCTATTTAAAAAGAAAAAGAAGTATATAAAAGATCTTAATTTTTTAAAGCCGTGTATACACTTAGCGAACGAACACCGAACGAACAGTGAATGCAAAACTTTGTGTTGTTATTTTACATAAAAATTGCACAAGTTCAATTGCTATGTGCAACGAACATTGAATCTAATCGAATGCTAGTAGTTCGGTGCAATCAAGAAAAAGATTAAACTGCTCATAAACACAAACACGAATGTCCGAACATTCGCGTTCGATGTTCGTTCACTAAATGTATACGCGGCTGAACATTTATTACATAAGCAATTTTATAAAACTTTCTGAAATTTATACGACTATTAATTTGATACTTTAATGGCTGCATTCAGCAAAGAAAACAGCTTTAATTGGTGGTATAATAATATGTGAGGAACTTAAGGCAAAACTAATCGAGAGGGATTTGATAACACACATTGCTAATCGGTCAATTTAAAATAAAATATTCTCATTGGTAAAGCAATGAAAAACGGAACGATCAATCATATTAAAGAATATTTAATACAACAGTTATGCAAAGTTATTATCTCTACTGAAAGCAGCTATTATTTTATAAAACGAAAAAGATTTAAGAAATTAAAAATTAAAAAATTGTGTATTTATTGAATTGTCACAGTTTTAATATTATCTGTTGAGAAAAGATATGAGGTACTATCTTTAACTTTAAAATTTTCCTGTAAAATAAAATTGACTATCTTAATTTCTAGTCCCTAGTGTCTTTGAAATAGTGCTCTTGGGTACGAATATAGCGATTTCAATAGATTTTTTTCCATTATTTCATAAAATTCAAGAATTTGGAAGTGTTTTAAGCTCCTGTGAATTTGCCAGAATTCCGTCAATAGTGTCAAAACGATGGCCTTTCAATGGAAAGTTCATCATGGAGAACAAGAAGAAATTATAGGGAGGCGAATAGGATAGTAATCACTATTATGTAGTCAAAAATTCTGGAAGTCAAAAATTGTCGAATTGAACGAACGATGTATGAAGGGGCGTGTTGTCATGACGGAGAACTCAGTTGTTCTCTTATTTGTCTAGGCATGACCTGATGCTTCTCCGTAACCACTTCAAAACTTCACAATAAAACCCCATTGTGGGTTTGACTAAGAAAGACAAATATCTTATGGAGAGACAAGCAAAATTGTAGGAGGCGTTTAAAACACTCATACTTGAAAAAAAAACCATCGATATCGCTGCATTCATGTCCAACTAGTTCGAAGAGAACGGTGAAAACTGGAAATTAAAGTAAATAACTTTTCATAGGCAAATTTTCAAATTTTTGAATAGTATCTCATATTTGGCAAAATGAATTGTAAAATTTGTTTAAAAACATTAATTTTGTAAAATTATCAAACACATATAAAGTCATATTAGAAATTAGAATTAGTAATAGTATATCTGTTATCATTGTAGTAGCATGTAAAGTCATGTATATGTAATTATCGATAAAAAAGATTTATTAATTATTAGTAAAATTCGTATAGTTATCATAATTATTTAATAACGAGACTAAACGCGAAATTGCAATCTTTGTCGCGATTTTAAAAATATTTTTTGCTATTTGGATGAAAAAAGTGTCCATCCACGTACCACGTCCAATCCGTCCATTTTTGTACCTAAAACATTTATTTCTAGAAAATGTTGCAATAACAAATTTTAAGCTATTTTTTAAGTAGAATAGAAAATATCTCTTTCTATATATTTTAACTTATCTATTTTTCTTTACTTGTTTTAAATGAAGATTATATCTTTATACTATTATATAGTAAGCTGACAAATTTGAAATTGCAGCAAAATTAATAAAGCACATGCAAAATCTGTTCATTATAAATTTTTATACTCTATATGTGCTTTCTTTTTTATCTAAATTCTAATACTTGTATTTTATATATTATAAAAATAAAATAAATATAACGAGATATGGAAATTAAATCATTCGTTGAACACTTATCCCATTTTATTGAAATATGGAGTTTATTTTTAGATGCTTTGAATGTTACAAGCAGGCGCTATAAGAGATTGAAATACAAAATCGAAATACAAAATATTGATTTGTAATAATTTTTTAATGTAAAAAATATGTAAAAATATTTCGAAATCAATAAAATAATATGTGAAAATTCTTGAATAAAAGAAAGGATATAATAAATGTAATAAATTAGAAGAAAGTGTAAAATGTTATTCTTTCTCTATACTTTTCTTTTTAAAATAAATTCACAAATAAAAATGGAAGACGAACGTGAACGAAGTTAGTTATTCTTTAGGGAAACAAAAATGTGCAAATGCCCTGGTGAATGTCAAAAAATTTTTAATAGAATTTTTTCATATATTCGTGCATATTATTAATTTATATTGTAATATGTTATGTTGTAACATGTTATAATATCGCTTAAATATTTGTAAATGATAAGAAGCATAACGGGGAAAAAACAAAACGGCGAAGATGCCGGAGATAAACGAGAATATGGATCAGCAGAAGCTAATGGCAGTAATCAAGCCAATGAGGGTATTTCAACTCGTGCGTATTGAACACCATTATTTCATTCGACTGCAATCTCTTAATATCAAAGAATATCAGAATTAGAATAAACTGATATCTCGTTGTATTAAAATAAAATTTTCCCTCAAGACAGTTCGCGGTGCTGCTATTGTTCGTGATCATGATTTATATGATTGTTATGGATCCTACGCCGATAAGCGCTACTGTCTGCATCCTCTTGATTATCCTATCAGGCGTATACACTTTCATCTTAGCTATTGGGTTAGTCGGCAACGCTGCCGGGAACAACTTGCATCTTATTCTGGTAATTTATGTCGTGCTATTGTACATTACTATCTATTGAAATCAGAGTTATGTAAAAAACAACTCGAAACTTTTCTTTAAAATTTTAAATGTCTTTCAAGAATATAGATCATTTACTAACATATGAATTAACAACTTGAAAAAGAAATAATCATGATACACGTTATTAAAATGTTAATAATTTTTTTAATTCTGTATGTAAAAAATGCTGTATATAAAATATTTTAATTTCACTAAAAAAAAAATATTGTTTATCAAATATTATTAATTACAAATATGAATATTTTTCTATATTAATTATTACAGATGGCTCTATTCTCTTTACTTGGTCTATTATTTTTTGCTATGGCTGGGATTTTCTTGATTTATAAAGGCTATCTTCAACTCATAGTGATAATAGCAATAACATTGTGTCTATTGACAGCGTTATTTTTTTTGCTCGATATCACAATGGTACTCACGTGAGTTGTTAGTTCAAATTTAAACCTTCGAAGCAGAGACAGGCAGACCCAATTGAATAAAATTATAATAAAAGTATATATAATTTAGATTTTGGAAGAAAAGATACTCAATCTGCGAACAATGTTGCAGTAATAACATGACGGAACTTATACTACGCAAAGCCGCCGAATTAAAAGCACCCCAAGTGAGTTGAAACCCAAGTGAGTAGTCGCGTAGAAAAGCTTCACAAGTATTAAAAATGAGGACATTCAATTATATAGATTACAGATATTCACAATTTCAGTCTATTAAAATTTAATGAAATTAATAATAAAAACTTTTATTACCCTAATTATAATAATTACTTTTTATTAAGTACTTTATATTAAGTTTTTTTATTTAATTAAATTAAATTAATAAATCAATTACGAGTAGGATATTTGTAAACTGATAAAGATTTTTATTAATCTAATTAAATAGTTCCGTTTTCACGTTCAAGCATTACGAAATTACTTAATTTTTCAGAAGCAATAACTCTAACGAATAAACTTATTTGAAATTTACAATACTATGAATTCAAAATCACTGTTTTACATTTGAATTTAAATATCTTGAGTATAAACGTAGATAACGAGGCGTGATATAACGACCAGCTTGAGTGACATCAGGGTACCCCGTGAACTGGAAGGTATTGTAATGCCTGACCACTGTTATCGCAAAATCGGATATTCTCGACGGCGAGAATACATTGACTGTCCTACCTGCGTACCATCATTATACAATCTTGGCATCGCTCAAATTCAAACGGAATCGAAAAAGATGTCCGTCATGGAATGTCAAGTGAGTCGGATTTGACAAGATTTCTTCTTAGCACATTACTTGTATAGGGTGGATGTTTCTGACATCGCAACATTATATCATTCAATCTTCATTCTTTAATGATTTACAATTAGTAAAGATTAATATTCTATACATCCTTTAAATGCAAAAAAATTTTTAATTATAAAACAATTTATGCTAAATAATAATGTATATAAGTAGTATTCAAACACACACACACACACACACACACACACACACACACACACACACACACACACACACATACATACGCGCGCGCACACACATTCAGTAAATTTAGGCGAGGATATTGGATATAGGACTAATTATTTAAATCTCTTTTCTTTAAACCTTCTCATTATTCGCGTGTCCGTAAATTTATTACATGTATGAATGTTATTCATACACATTTATTATATTTAAGACAAATTAGTTCACAATTAATAAAAATTTTGCATTTATCTTTATGTAAAAGATGTAAAGAATAATTCAGTGTTTTATTAATTATGAATCATTGAAGAAAGTATTTAAAAAAAAAAGCTATTGGGATATCAAAAATATCCTACTTTGTATTTTTTATGACTTGTCGAAAAGATATCGCTTTTGTCGGTTATTTTGTTGTTTCTTAAATTTCTATGTGCGTTTTCGAATAAGATCAGACTCCGAAAAGAATCATGAAGGAAACACCGATACAGACATTAAGCAAATGCGAATTCTGTCATCAACACATACAGCTTCCCATCACCGTAGGAGCTCATGTGCCCAGTACGCATTGTTTGCAACATCCACAATGGAATTATCCCACTGTCGTGCAGTTTCTTCGTGGAGATACCAGCGGGTCGTGTTGCCCTAAGTAATTTGCTAGCTTTTATATCTAGAAAATCTCTTAGAAAATGACACGATTCTTTTCTCTTGCAGATGCAAATGCGCTGAGGATAAGATAAAACAGCTGCAACAACAATCACAGCAATTAAAATATACGAGATCACTGATGTCAAAAGTAAAATCTCCTCATAAAATGAGTGAGACACAGCAGATTACAAGTAAATCTATTGTAATATCATATAGAATTGTGTGAAATTGTTCAGAATTACAAATTAATCAAAGTTGTTACTTCGAAAGGCGCAATGGTCACGTAGTGATATATTTTCCTTTTCGAGTTCTGCAACTTAAGTTTTAGCCAGAAGTGAGCTCGTTTTCAGCTTACTTCATGTTTTGGATCATAATAATTATGGAAACATAATCTTTGTAAGCTCCTATTGTGTATTTAAAGAAAATACAATTGTCACTATGTGCTCCAGCTTGGGGCATATAGTAGACGTGACAACCAAGAGGCACTGGAGCAGATAGTGTTACCTTCGAAATATTCCATGTTTAAACTTCCCTTCTTCTTTCTTTATTACCTTTTTACTTCATTTCAGAAAGTAACATATAATCTATAAAACTTTTATAAAAATATTTAAAATGAATTTAAATTTTTTAAATTAAATTTGAATTCAATGAAACTGTTTCCTTTCATATAGCAGAAATATTTGGTAAATTTTTAATTTGTAAATTTTTTTACTAGTATAGCAACAAAGCAATTTAAAAAAGGAGAAAAAAATGTTTCTGACTGAATTTCGCGCGATAACGCATGACATCGATGATTATTTGTGAATAATTCTCATTTATAGAGGTTGAAAGCGGGAGCAGTATTACAAAACTAAGGCATCCAACAACCCACGCATATATTTCTTCATTTTATGAACCGGACAAGAAAATGCAGACCGCCCCGGATATCGAGTATGTATGTGTGTTTGTGTGCGTGTGCATGCATCGTGCGTGTCATAAAATAAAACAATCAATAAAATAAAACAAAAAATTAAAAACGATTATTCTGTCCAAAAATTCTGTTATCTCTTCTAGATAATATGTAAAGGAAGTTGAGTTATTTTTCGCGACGGTATTTAATTTAAAATAATTAAATAACATATATTTTAAAATAATTAAAACAATTTAAAATAATTATAACAGTATTGAATTTAAAATTGGTAAATATATCGAACAGAGGATCCGCTTCGACGACGCTTATTTTCAAGGTCACGATCCTCTAAGTTTTACTCCGTCAGACCTTATCCGTTAAAAAGTTATTAATAAAAAAGTTTAAGTAATAATGTTTTATTTCTGCTATGTACAATATTAAGAACTATCCCAAATCCTCTCCTTGCATGACTTTCCGTTTTAGCTACAAACAAAAAATGGCTGCGATAGAAATGAAAAAAGGCATAAGAGAGGACATCGATCAGAAAATTGCGGGAAAAACCAAAATAAAACTTGCGAAAACTAAAGAGTCCGATATATTCGAAAAGATCCTAGGGCATGAAAACATAAAGGAAAGACACAAGGACAGCATGAAAGGAAGCGAAGAGAAGACAATCAGAGGAAAAAAGATCGAAAGAAGTAAGGGAGGAGGAGAACACAGCGCTAGAATTAATCAAGAGTTTAGAGGTGTAATGGAACAAGAAAGCCCAAACTTAAAGGAATCGTCGATAGACATGTAGGTGTTACTATATAAAGCGATATGTTAATTGATTCAATGCGTTTCGTGCATAGCGAAATCGACCATCGTTGCATGGTCTGATGAAACAAATAATTCAATATACGGGAAATAATCGTTTTAGGAGCAGAATGTTAAGCACGCCGCTAAGTAGTAGAACGAAATCTCGAACGTTGTTACACTTAAAATCAAATAAGGTGGATCCAATTACGGACGCGTAAGCAACTAAAGATTCTCACAAATGCGACAAATCGAGACTACATGAAAAGAACGGTTTTGTCAAAGTAAAAATTTAATTAGAGTTGAAAATAATTCTATTGAATCAATAAAAATAATAATATAGAACGCTTAATATTAAAAATATCAATGTTTTTTTATTCATTAAATGGATCAAGTGGATAATTATGAAAATAAAGAAAATGATACAAAAATATTTTATAGTATAGAGGAAATAATTATTGTGAAGAGAGCAAAAAAATGTCAAATTCTATCTTGTATACAAAAAATGCAATTAAGTAACCTAACAAATAGAAATAATCAATGGCTGCGTTTAGTAGAGAAAGTAATTTTGCAACTGTCGTAGAATTCTTTAATATAATTGATTTATGCATTTAGATACAACCAATAATAATAACCGATAATTTTAATATTAAATCTTGATGATAATATTGTGAAAAATTTTAACAACCTGGCAACCAGTTTGAGCATCCTACAAAATTATTTTGGTGATTAAAACAAAATTATATTCAGATCTTTAGTTAATTTTTTAAATATTTCGTACACGGAAAAACCGTTCTTTCCGTGTACAATCGACGCAATAATTAGGAACTTTGCTTGTCACTTAGAAATGTATTCGTGATAAATGAGGACTGCAGCCCCGAAAGAATGGCATCCAGAACGATACTTGATAATCAGAATATTCAAGGAGTATAAAAACGTTCCTGTTCTTAAGCTATCAAGAGAGTTGGAAAGTAAACTCCAATTATGCGTTGAATCTTTATTCCTATTCTAGAGCGAGCATTCAGCAAGGACTGGAACGCCGAATCCTATAATTGAACGTCAGTTGAACGCTGCTTGTTCGCTCTATAGGCCACAGAAGGTGATTTCAAAGCGACTATTCTCATTATTCTGAAAATTTAAAAATCTGCAAATTTCTCAGGTCCTTGATTTGTACTGTCTCAACCGCGTGCTTTTCAGAGTTTAACGCCAACTTCGGACAATTCAAGCTATTATATCGTCTTTAAGGATAGAAAGGGGAGACACTTTTGTGAATTTTGCGCTCCGCTGAAAAGTAGAAAGGTAAACGATCCATTCCCATTACGATTAAACACACATCACTCATTTGCTGCAACACAACTCAAAAAACAAAATTTTCCAGAAAATAAGTTTGAACATTTGGAATATAAAAATTTTGTAATTTCGTTAATTTTGAAATGCAATTTTGATGTAATAACTGATTATGGAGGAATAAAATGTAATTTTTAAGTACGTATATACTTTTTTCTTTATGTTTCGATTCTTTTTTCCACAAGTAATTAAAAAATAATAATTATGTTGTAGTAGCAAAAGAGCAATATACACACGCCGCGCATGTCAATTGCATGCTATAAATTTATCGTTTCAATTTTGAACGAAAAAAAAATTATTCCGTGACTTGTTTTCGATTGAAAAAGACTTTGTATCCACTTTGATAAATAAAACTACATTTTGGAAGAAGAAATGAATTTTATTCAATTAAATTGATTCATTATTAATGCAAAATATTTAATATGTCAGATAACAAGCAGATTCGAAGGCACGGACTCAAGAAAGTTACGATGTGCCAATTGTCGATTGCATTTTCGTGATCGAGGCATCAAAACTGTAAGTGTTTGAATAATGATACGTAAAAGATTGTTGAAGTTAAGCTCTGCGCACAATGAAAGAAATGTTAGCACGAATAAAGAGAATTAGAGAAATAAAACAAATTAGAAATACAAATTAAACATAACGCACAGAAGAGATACAAATAAAAAATATAAAATATATCGTATCTTATTCATTATGCGTTATATTTAATTCCTATTCCTAATTTTTTTTATTTAATATTTATTCCTATTTCTTCCATTGTGCGCTGGGCTTCAGCTGATGAAAAGTTATTTCTATTCGCAGAAATCAGATACTTATCCAAAATACAGTCGATTGCAAAAGCAAATGGCTTCTCCCACCACCACGTAAACAACAATCACAATTACATATCTCGCGTTGCATAAAACGCACATTGTGATCGAAAACGTCGATCGTGATTACTTCCTTAAAAATATTTATTCCTTACAATAATAGTTATTAGGAATAGCGAGAAACTTAAAAGTATATTTGTCTTCGCGCGGACATGCTGAGAAGAAATAAGCAACGCTGATCGCGTTGTTGATTATTATTAGCTGTAACTTAACACAATTAGTGTAAGATAACACTATCGAAAGAACATGATTCATACTTCTTTGTGACATTCCTCGAAACATGATATCAAGTGCGGGATGCACAGCCAGCGGCGGGATGCGCGTCATTTGTAATCTGCTGTAACATTATTAATGTAACGCTGGCTTAATGTCGATTTTATCTTTATCTTCCATTTTCAGTCTTGTATTCTTAAAATATAGCATGATTTCTCGGAAATGAGAATGATTTGGCTTAAGGTTCCTGACTAGCCGCCGCGACCATATTGGATCGTGATATGATAAAGAAATGACACGTTGAAGTTTCTTACATGCCACTTATGAATAAAGAGAATTTGAGTAAAATAATAATAAGATATAATCCATTTTTATATAAATGTTTTAAAGCATCTTATTATTTTTCCCGAAGTCACCCTTATCTTCTTTATAGTCAATAAATAGTTGTAAAAAGCAAGTGAAGTGAAAATACGCGTAATAGATTTTCATGTCCCTTATGACTATCTACTAACTGGCAGGACAATAAAAATGACTTTAGCGTTTTGAAGTGATTTCATTATGTCGTTTTATCGTTTTAAAATTCTCTTTGCCTGAAAATGACATGCAAGAAGTTTCAACATATTATTTCTCTTGTAACATGAAATGATTGCAGTGATTTAGTCAGAAACCTTAATTTCTAGCGAATCTCGAAGTTCTCTCACTTCGAGCACTGATAATAACAAAAAATATAACGATAAAAAATCTGAGACCCGAAAACTGCGTTCAGAAAATATACGGGCAGTTCATCATGCATTTATATAAAATAAATATAATAAATATGTCAGCGCGAGACTTAACCTAATGTAAATCTGCAATCTATGCAAATGAACCGCTATTACATAGATCGTTAAAAAATAGTTAGATGCCAACGATTATGCGCGATTTAAAAAAAAAATGGTAACATCGCATTTATCAATAAAATGCTACAAAATAAAAATAATCGCGAGTTACATTTAAGCTATAAATTGAAAAAATTGCGAAGAACTTAGCAACGCTTATATGCTTACATTTAAAAAAAATTTTTTTGTACTACTAGTGCGAATCTTTCTCTTTGGCAGCAATGTCAATAATTAAAAACAAAAATTATACCTTAATAATTATCCCATTAGAGCACATGAAATAAACGTAAAAACGCCGCCGTTCTATAAAATCTACATAAAATGTCAAAAGAAAAAAACAAAAGAAAGAGAGGAAAGGAAGAAATCATAGCTGAGCGCGAGCAGCTTCTTGCTTCAAGATCGGTCTGGGCCGTTTCTCGCTGCTGTTTGCCACGAGCGGACCGAAACAAGCTGTCACATTTTCCGCGGCCGGATAAATCGGTGTAAAATTCACAACAAGATTCGGTGCGTAATTCTTAACGTAGCATGACGTAGCGTTGGTTGTACGCGATATCGCGTTGCCATTTCCTGATTTCATCAGGATTTCACCGTGCCAGAATTCATAGTCGAATTTCTTGCTGATGGGACCTGGATCCGTAATCGATCTTCGCATACCAATCTGCTGGTTACATTGGTACGATCGACAATCACAGTTATGAACGTGACGAATGACGGCCGAGGATTGCGGATAAGCTGCAACGTCCTTCGAATAGAGATAAGCTGGCTGCTGCAGCAGCACATAACATGCCGGATAGTTCTGACCATGGACAGTGGTGACTTGTCCAGTCTGATCAACCGTCTTGCTGGTAGAGAAACTGGGTTGGCAATTCGAAACACCGGAATCGTTTGAGCATTGATATTCGTTAAACAAGGAAGGCGACAGATATTTCGCGTCGTTCTCCCAATCGTGCGACGAATTGCTCGGAAATTTGTCCAGCGAATCGTAAGTCAATGGATTATCGGGACTTGTAGACGAGTTGGGTAACGTGGGCATCAGATTGGAACTCCATATATTAAAGTTGGGGAAACTGTTCGTCTCTTTCTTTCGTTGCGTCTTGTCCTGGAAATGATAATACTTGTTCGGTGGCTGTACGTTATCATTGATATCCGTGAGCATCATCTGCTGCTTCTCGTCCTTGTCCTGCAAAGAATCGTTCATGCCCGATATGGCTAGCATAGTAGAGTAACGAGTGGCGTTACAGTTGTGATTGGTGGGTTTAGTGACCGATGGATTAACCTGGCCATTCGGTGGGCAGATTGGCAAAATCTTTTTCCGGCCGTGGTTAGAAGATTCGTTTTGTATCGGTGAAACTGACGTGGACGTAGTCTTCTTGGACTGCAGATATTTCCGGGTAATCTGTACGTCACCTTTATCGTCAACACTGCCACGATCTTCATACTGGCAATATGGAAATGCGATTTATATGAAGGAAGAACTAAATATTGCTAAGGTGAAAGCAAAGATTTGATTGCACCGATTCATTGATCAACTGGCATTAAGATTCCTGTTAGCTTATTACTACAATCTCAGATTATGACGTTAGAAGCAAGAAAACACAATAAAAATTCTGGCAAAAAGATTATATTTGAATAGAAATATTTGCAATAGAATGGACTTATAAAATACATCAAAAACTCTTTTTTTTTTTTTTTAGAAGAAATTAAATTGTTTTTGATTTTTTTTAATTAATTAATTCCCAGATATGATTATTTATTAATCAATGAAATAAAAGGAGAATTTTCGATATATTTTACAAATTAATTCCACACATATCAACTATATAAATGGTGTTCTATAGAAACATATTTTTATATTAATATATTTTGCAAAAAATTTTTATTATGTAATTTTTTGCTTCTAAAGTCATAATTTGAAATAGTATAGTGATGAATGAATAGGATTTTAATCTTATCTTAATAACATAAAAATTATGTAAAGTAACATCATATTGGAATATGCTATACTTTATTGTTTCATAATCAACGGAAATTCGTATATGTCCAATGATTTGATTTCATTGAATTTTCTGGAATTCTCGTAGTTGATCGATATTCAAATCGAAATGTGTATTTTAACATATCATTGAAGCATATAATTGTAATTCTTTTTATAATAAAAATGGTGTTTTAAATCATCCTTGCAAACCCCAAGATAATCATATTTTCAAAACATACGGCGTCAATAGATAAGATGTGTGGCAATATGAGACGTTAAAAATAATTTCGTAATCTTCTCGAGCTTATCCCTATACTTGTTTGTCATAAACTAAACTTTTTCATTCAAAAATATTCTCGCGCAAATCCCGTGTCTATAAAATCTATACAAGTTTTGGAAGCAAGTAAATTATATTTGTTTTTCATAAAACACAGTGTGATATATCACGGCACGATAAATATCCTGTTTATCGAAGTCACCTCTTGGACTTGACATGTACATTCTAGATCATGACTCTGAGTGAATTGAAGTCTACAGGCATCTATCATAAAACAAATCTGAATGAATTCGTATCATGAAACAAGTCGAGATGAATTCCAATCGAAATTATTTCATTTTTCTTAGAAAACACAGAATCAAAATCTAAAAAATAATTGAATAATTTCGATCGAAATCTATTCTAAATAATGCCATACATATCCAGATTTTAGATTTCAATTGGCTGCGTAAATCGTCATTTAATCTTCGGTAATGCACGGGTTATCGTTATGTCATTTTTTCTTAGTTATATAGAAAATACTCTACAAGACTATAATAATCTTGTTGCGAGATTCTGGTTTAGTAAAACAGTGATAGATATCTTGGTAAAAAGAAAAATATTAGACTATTTTTAAACCAAAAGCAGAACATAAGTTAATCATTGGAGACTGCGAAATCCTTTGGAGACAGAAAATAAAAATTATGATAATTATACATACAGTATAAGGAATGCAGCCCTTAATCTTGATATATGTTGTCAAGGTCATGATCCTGAATGACCTCGCAACGAGTTTTAGCAGGCACTCGTTATTTACGAAAAAGTTATTAGCAAAAAAGTTGAAGAAGCTTAAAAACGTCTTATTTCTCCCACATGCAATATTAAAAACTATACATTTTAGGTATATACTAGAAATAGAAATAAGACAATATTTCTTAAATTTCTTTTATTCATAACTTTAGTGAATAACAAGCACCGGCTAAAACCTGTCGGAAATCACTCAGGGTTTGTCCATTTTTTAATTTTTCAAAATTTTTGAATAGTTTTACAATTTTTTTTAGAAAAGTTCTCAGATTTTTAAACATTCTGAAAAATTATAAAAAAAATTTTGAAGAAAATTTTTACCAGAACAATGACTCGTATCGTCATAACGCGAAATATAATTATTAATAAGAAAATTTGTCTGATGTACTTTTCACAATAACGCGTGTTATCAAAGAAAAAAAGAGGAAAAAGAGTTACTTGCAAATATACATTAAATCTAGTTATTCTGTCCGAGCAATGTTAATAATACAGACAGGTAAGTAGCAGTACTCTACTCTTACCGTTCGGAAACACATACCATTTCAGCTTTGGCCAGATAAATCCAAAGCTTGCGCCATGTGCTAAACTTGTTCTGATCACTGAAATTGTATCGCATTTCCTTCGAAGCATATCGAGTAGATAACGGGCTGCGATAGTCACAATAATCGTTACTCGGCACTTTCGAGACACTCATGATTAATCGAGAAAGAGAAAGAGATTCAGAAAGGAAAGAACTGTCTAACGCGACCGTGTGAATGGAACTACATGCGATCAGCTGATACCGCCGATGCTGTCCTGTCTGGCACACATCTAGCTCTCTAGATTGATTAAAACGACAAACTGCGTACTAGCGCCACGTCTTGGACAATACATGAACTACTTCAAGCCGCTTAGCGCTCTACCGATGATTCAGAATGAATGCAGTGACGAATCGAAGAAAAACTTGAGAGTGCATGATCATCTCGATCTTTTTTTGTGTATATCAAATCTCGTAAGATAATATCCAAGAACGAATAATCAACTCTAATTGTTCGTCCTTGTCTAACCCGGTCATGTAATAGCATGGAAGAGAAAAAAAATGGTTTTAATTTGGAGCCCTTACTATTGGTAAGAATTCTCTTACTGATTTAAGTTAAGGAAATAACAATAGTATGCGCATATTCCAATATGATATATAATATTCAATAAAATAAAAAAATGTGATTCGATAAATCTTATAATTTGTTATTATCTTTTTTCGATTATTTTTTTATGTTAAATTGAAGCAGTGACGCAAAATAATTTGTCACAAATTGTAATTAAAAAAAAATTAAAAGAAGAAGATATTTTGAACATTTCCGTACGTAAATTTAATTCTAGCTATACACATTGAGATCCCAGAAACCTCAGCACAATTTGCTAAATAAAGATTTTTTCTTGTTTCTAAACTTTTCTTTTTCTTTGGATCTATATATCTCGAAGCTCCTTTAATTCTATTGACTTTATACATTATGGACATGTTTCTTAATCAATTCTCCATCAATTGAAAAACAAAATTAATGGAAATATATCCATTTTTACCGAGTCACGGTAACAAATATGAATGGGATCCCAAAGACCCGAGTGTGTACATCAAGGGTAGAAAAAAAATGTGTATAGTTAGGGTTAACAAAAATAAATTATTTTCAAAAAAAAAAATCGATCAAAAAAGTGGATTTACGTAATCGATAGATTTCAGTGCTTCAATTTTAATTATTGAAATGTATCATTTAAAAAAAAATAAAAGTTATAATTTCCCGCTTACCACATTAGAAGGATTCCAATCTACACGCGCCCATTCGACGTGGACTTCGTTGCATTTGAAAAGTCTTTCAGGTCTCAATTTTCGTCTCGCTAAAGCTGCGTTGCGATGAGATTTGAAGGAAACTATAGCATAAGCCGCGTCGTGATTCGGAAATCGATAAATAGATACGTACTCGATGTCCCATGCTGATGCATAAATTACCTAAGTACATAACGACAAAACAAATTGACATTTTTCAGAATAAGAATTAAACAAATAAATATGGAATGTGTATACTAATTTAGAAATTACGATATTACAGAATAACATATTCAGTGCAAAAAACTATAAATAAAGAATAAACACTTCAGTAAAACCTTTTCGAAACAATTTTTACATCTTTGGAACAGTTATTTGAAAATTTTTCAAGTTGCAAAAAACTTCAATTACTTGTAAACTTGGAGTCCATTTTATATTATCTATAATTCCATATCAGAGAGAAAAAATTCTAATTATGACTTCATATTCCACATAATACAAAATGCACTTGAAAAATTAAAGGTGTAACATACACGAACATACGTAGTGGACCATTTTATTTATCCCACCGATTTTCTACAAATTTTTTAAATAAAATATTTCAGGCAAAAGTTATTCTTACTAGAAGAAAAAAAGATGGTAACCTTAATTGAAATATCTTTAAGATGAAATCAAGGTTATTTAAAATTTTTTAAATTAAATTATATAGTTTTTGTTACATAATAAATAATTCCTCTAATTATTTTGTATATAAAAGTGTCGAGATAGAGATGCTAAAAAAATCAATAGTTTACCAGATGTTTTATATACTTTATTCTAGTACACACATTACATATAACATAAAATATTAAATATCTCATAAATTCTATTAAGCTTTTGATAATATTTAGTACTTTAATACTTTTATAACAGAATGAGATAAATCAATTGATGTAAAGAAAAAATACATAGTTGCTTTAAAAAAAATATGTAGGCAAAAGAGATAATTTTTAAAATAAGCAATTATGTGTTTTCTTTACACCAATTAATTCGTCTCATTATTCTATTCATAAAAATATTAAGGTATAATTATCAAAAAGTTAATAGTTTACGAGATATTTAATATTTCATGTCAATATATGCTAAAATAAAAGTATAAAATCTTTCATAAACTATTGGTTTTTTAGTACCTCTATCTTAATATTTTTATATACAGTATAATTAGAGGAATTACATTATGTAATATATATATATAATTCCATTTAAAAAATTTTAAGTAATCCTTGACGTAAGAAGAACATTTTAAGAACACCTTAAAATTAACCAAGATTACCATCTTTCCTGCTTCGCTCTAGTAATTAAACAACTTTGATCTAAGACATTGTTATCTTATACTTGAAGATTTTGAGAAAATCGACTGGATAAATTAAAATGACCCACCCCCCCCCCC